GGTTTTCGGGGAGGGGGCAGAGTAGGAGATGGATAGGATGATGGGGAGAGGGCAGAGTAGGAGATGGAGAGGATGATGGGGAGGGGGTGGAGTAGGAGATGGATGGAAAGATAAGGTGGATGTGGGATTGGAGATAGATGGGATTAGGGGTAGAATCAAAGTAGACAGGGTAGATATGTGATGATGGGATATGGATGATGGTAGAATTGTAGAGGATAGCATGATGGGGTTGGATACAAAGTGCAGAACTGTACTTTTGAGGAATTTTAATTATGCACCATCATCAAACTCACAAATGCACTGCTTGTATAATCATCCAGGTCTGGTCTAACTGTACTGGACCCACATTCTATAAACATTCCGCTCTCCTGTAAAGAACTGTGAAGCCTTTTTACCTGCATCTCCCTTGTTTGTGGTCTTTGTTGATTTACTTTTAAGCGACAGGCGCCCTTCAACACCCAGTCTGCATACAGCACTAACTGCTAGGTTTTTTCTCCGAGAGTACAATGGATTTTATACCGAGGTCTATAAAATATCTTTTACAGCTGTACTGCAGTCATATGTCAACCAATCTTATAACAATTTTTGATGAAGCTTGGTTAGTATTTTCTTGTTTAATTTAGTAACCATATTTGTATAACTTGGATGGCTCTTTCTTTCCTGTTATTACAGTAAAGAAATTCAAATTCATAACAAGCGGCGAGCCATGGCGGCTTTGCCGTTCTACATGTAGTTTTATGATTGAAAAAGAGAAGCGTTTTATTTGCTCACAAGTTATTGTGGGTTAGTTTAGTAAGGGCTAAGTACATGTACCTTGCTTGAGGACATGTGTGAACACCTTTGTGGTTGTTCCTTTTTTTTCATTGCAGAGGTGCATAGCTTACTGAGTTGGCTTAGATCTAGAAACCCAAGAGAGTTTTTCTCTGAATCTGGTTTAGATGAAATTAAATTGTCTTGTTGATTGATTTGGCAGACCACGTCATTGGTCTACATCAAAATATTTACAATAACAACTACTTTTCTCCTGTTCTTCAAGACCAACCTGCACCAGGCGACAGCCTTGGTGTCTCAGCTGATGCCATCCTGAGAGAACGCTTCAAGGAATATGGCCACAGCATCGATGCCTTCAGCTGCGTTCAGTACATCGGAACTCAGACCATCACACCCCCAACCGATTTCAGAAGTCTGCGTAGGGCCATACTGGCTCATGTGCGAAATGATAGTGTCAGGTCCCCCAGACCTCCAACAGTGATCTACAATGCACTCAAGGTATAATCAGTCTAGGGGTCCACCTGTTAAAGTTTTTGGATTTGTGTTCTATTGGTAAATGCATGTAGTATGTCTGTTCATAAGTAAGGGCACTCATTGGGGACCTGTGAACACTTGTGATGGGCTTACATGCAGCCAGGTTTTACCTAGTCTCAAGTGATTGCACAATTTTAACAACATCTCTTTCTCTCTGTACCATTACTTTCACTGTTGAAATGACATACTGTTGAAAACTAATACTTGCTTCAAGATACATGTGGTTCAAAAACTACTTTTTCTACGATACAACTATATGCACATTTTTCATTCTGGCATACATGTAGGTCTTGAATGATAAATTCAGCGGTGAAATCGACGCCACTGTGCCTTCCACCTTCCCTGATGAGTATTTCACCTGTTCAGATCGCTGTCTTTCCTGCGATGCGCGCTGCGGTCGCACCATGAACCACAGCAAGGACAACCTGCCACATCAGTCAGAGTCACGCTGTCGATACCAACACCAATTTGATAACCAGGTGTTCATTTGTAAGGTGGGTCAACTTAAGGACTGGGCTCAGCATCTTGATGTTGCTGAATGTCACACTATTTGAAATTTGGTGACATCAGAAAAACTCACTGAATCCACTCCATGTGGGAGTGAGATGCGATGAGCTTTTCCATGGCAACGTTGGGTAGCGTTATATCTTATGTCTCATTCTTTTCCCTCATTTTGATGACAGAATTGCTATGAGCGTGGCGAGGAAGTGTTAGTGGTCCCCAAGACCTCCTCCTCAGGAGATACATCATGGTTAGGTCTGGTCAAATATGCCTGGTCTGGGTGAGTCTTGGACATAGGGCAAAGGAACTATTCATTTAAGGACAGAAATATGAATTTTTGTAAACCATCAATGCCAGATCGTAAGCTAATCTGATAAAGCACCTAAGCTCATATAAACTGATCATAGAAACTCTTTTATTTTTTAGCAGCAAGCATAGACTACTTCCTGTATTGTGTGAGAGGTATACTTCTAGAGGCCATTTCTCCTCTTCTCTTTTGCTTGGCATATAAATTCTTCCATTGGGCAAATGTTTCCAACTTCAAGTGATTCTGACGGTGATATCAAGTAAACTTGGTTGAACCAGGTTATTTGAATGTTATTTCATTAAGGATATTTGAATCGGAAAACACCTAAGTGCCGTGGGATTTTTCTTTTAGTTATACATGCTGCAACTGAATTTGTGTTTGTCAATTTTAGAAATCGGTGAACATATGGAGGAACATATTGTATATTGTCTTCCTTTCTTTCGTTTTAGATACGTTTTGGAGTGTCCCAACTGTGGGATCATTTACCGCAGTCGACAGCACTGGTATGGGAACCTTGATCCCGAGCAGACTGCAGTGAGAACAGAGATCAGACATGTGTGGCCAGGAGTAAGTAGAAGTCCCTGTGCTGCTATTCCAACTGAATGTTCGCTGACTTGTATTATTTTTGAACCTTGCCTTTTGGCAGTTAATGGAGTGCAAACATTTGTGGTAACCCCTGATGACAAAGACAGACATACGGCGCTGTGTTTCAGTGTATGACATAGGACAAAGCATTGTGATTCCCTCACGTGTTGTTCCTAGATGTCACAGCTGAATTAGATGGACTAAATATTTTTCTTTTTGTTGAGTTTCTTCTCTTTTAGGGCGATGGTTGCTGTTGGTCACAGTAATCCTAGTTTAACCCAAGTTTTGTCTTTGTTTAGCTCTCTGGTCTAGTAGAGGATGGCATGGGCATGCATGAATGCATCCTTAGTATTTATTGAATGTAGATGTGTGTAAGGTTGGATGGGAGTGGGCGGGGATGAGATTTGCCACATGTTGCGGTAGAAGGAACACGGTGTTTTGAGTTCCTGGTGACGAAGCCATTTTGGTTAGCTTGAGCCATCCCTTGGCTATCAGCACGGATGATTTCGGCTCTGTGAAGTCTTGGGCGTGGCTCGGACAAGCATAAGTCAGCATGACAACAGGAGTCGTAAGTTACACTCTGTGATTTCTTTACATTAAATTGCTTGGTTGAAATTACGTGGAACTTGATTAATTTTTTCCAACACTAGAAGATTTTGATTTTGGAAGCTGTATCTGTTTTCTGTTATGGAGTAGTTTGATTATTTTCCATTCTAGATGGTCTTTGTATGTTGATGTATATGGTCTGCTAAGCACTGATGTCCTTGGGACCCTGCTTGTGAGGCCTGAGAGTAGTTCCGCATTTACTGTTCCACATTCTGAGTGTAGCCTGTTCCACAGCCTGCAGTCCTTCCTGGAGCTTGATGGTTCTCTGCAGCGTCATCCTGTCCTGTGACAGTCTTTGCTTCTGTGACTTAGACGACGGATGTTGGTGGAATCTGCCACAGCTATGACAAAGCCATCCTAATCTCCCATAAACCCTTCATTTATTATTGTATTAAGTTTAAGTATTAAGTTTAATTGATAGAATGCTGAATTAGAGGATTAAGCCGTTGATCAGAATTGTAGACTGATTTTTGAAATAAGGAAAAGTTGAACATATTGCTGACAACTGTATATGATGTGAATTAATGGATTTGAACTACTGATATTGATTGAATTGAGCGTCTTCCATTGATTGGAGGAGTTGAACAGTATAAAATAGAAACTGGTCCGTTTTAACTTTTCAGATTTGTAATTACCGGAAGTGATTCACTAATATTTAAATACTCACAAGTCAGGTACCGTGCATTGAACTATTTGAGGCATTTTTTATGTGACTCGGAATATTCCCAAAGTAGAGATTTCCCTGCAGTTCCAAAGTGTGTATAGTTACTTTGAATAAAATTAGGTGTATATTTTGTACATATTTCCAATCGGTGTGATACCGTGTTGTTTTTGTAAGAGTCCAGGAAAACTGGTGACACTAAAATACATTAAAGGGTAGATGCAATTTATTTTGTTTTTAATACAAACCTTCAAAAATGCATCATTGTGTCTCGGTTAACTTTACTTTCAACTTTTTAAAGCTTATTTTGTCACGCTTTTGGTTTCATGCTAAGGAGTATGTCCATATTCATGAGCAAAACTATGATGTGTTACATTGGTTTTTACACAAAAAAAGTCATACATGTTAGCTGATTTTGCTGGACCAATTTTGGTTTTTTTGCTGATTCATTGTTGTTTATGTGCATAGTAATAGGTGAGCACCAATGCTTTTCTCAAAAATGTTTTCAGTAAGTAAATTCTGGGTTCACAATATTAAAAGAGAAAGCTATGCAATGAGCCATGGCTACCCTGGATGACATCACAGCAACAGTGCCCTCAGTTGTCCAGAAAGCATTGATAATTTAAGTGTTTAAAAAAGTGCATTTGATCAAATGGGAATATGAAGAGTTTTCATACATTGACGAAAAGTACAGAATTGCAGAAAAATTGTGTCTCAGAAAGATTCATTTCAGCTACGCTTTACACACTGCCATGAAAAAAAGGCACTTACCACAGAGGACAAGATTGTACAAAGGACTGAACAAAAAATCTGTGGCTGCCTGGGTGTGTCAGTCCTCAATGGTAAACATGTACACAAAGCCAGTACTGTACAGTAAGGCAAGTCTGTGGACCTGTGTTCAAAGTTAGGCCCATTACATTCTTGCAACTACATGTACTCAATGAGTGGTCCAAACATAATGTGAAAATTTTAAATGGCTGTTTAAAAGGCTAAGTGCTCAGTGTAACTGCAATATTTGTTAGAATTCCAAGGGAACAGGCCTGAATTAGCTTTGTTGTCTTTTTCTTTTAAGGGTTGCACTGTGCTTCAAGGTACCCACAATGCAGCGAGGCGTGTGGTGGATGGACTGTCCTCAGTCATTGAGACAGTGAGCTCAGTCAGTGCTCGCCCCACCCAAATGGTGACACAGTGGATGACAGATCAGATAGCACCAGCCTACTGGCGACCTAATGCCGAGATCACAGTACGTAAACAGACAAAGAGGACATATGCATTGCATGTTGGGTACACCCATGCTAAGGCCGTTTCCTACTTCAGGCAAACACAAAAGTGAGATGAATTGAAATTTGCTTGAGTCAAGTTGAAATGTGTTCAACTTCTGTAAATTTGCGACATGAAGTTTTGATCCAATATCACAATTCTGTCTTATTGTTCACTTCCTTGCAAGTATAAACCCAACTTTAATGCTGTGTAATCTTTTGGATGTTAGTGCAGTATGTTTATGGAATTTCTGGAATAGATCGGCTTACAGTGTGGTGCTTGTGTTCACCGCTCTCTGATCTTAACTGGTACCCAAGTGGTTGGTGAGCAAACCTCACAGATTTTGTGAGCTGCTGCATTAAACTGATATCCTGGCCTGATGAAGAGGGGTGGTAGTTTTCAAGCGCTTGGAAATTTATCTTAGGAGATTACCTCCCACCTTCAGCTTGTAAATGTTTCACATGCTCTTAAAGCATCACTTCCTTCTCACCTGATGCATATAGGTCTGCCACATGTGTGAGCATCCCTTCGGTGAAGGGGAGAAGATCCATCACTGCCGTTCCTGCGGAGAGGGTTTCTGTGATGACTGCTCCTGTCATCAGATGCCCGTCCCGGAGCGAGGCTGGGGGGATAAGCCAGTCAGGGTGTGTGAGCAGTGTTATATGAAGAAATGCCAAGGTAAGCACATGCCTTGCAACTTGCCATCACGTTACGTCCAAAGGGCATGACACAGTCAATTTGAAACGTGTTCCACTTCTATAAATTGGACTTCATTAATTGGATTTGCTGTAGGTGATGCCAGTTATCCCAAAGCTACATGACATTTAATAAGACATATGCTTAGGTGTTGAATAGTCTTCTCTAGTTTAAGAATTACGGTAAGCTTCGCACTCGTTTCTTTTACCAGAGTTGTAGACTTGAGTCATTTGACTTGGACTGGAGTCCCTTGACTTGTAGCTATCATTTTTTGACTTGTGACTTGACTTTAACGTGCAAAAAATGACTGTGAGTTGACTTGGACTTGGACGTTATGACTTGTTGCTGACGCATGTCAAAGAATTAACTATTCAATCAAACCCGTTAAAATTTTGGATTAGGCCTATCAATTTACGCCATGCATTCTTAAAATAATCAGCGTTAGACTTCATTTGGCTCACAACTTCCACTTCAGTCAAGTCTGCCCAAGGCCATGTCTGAATCACTTGGCTGTGGCTTGAAATAACTCTTTGCGTTGCTTGACTTGTACTTAGACAAAAGACTCATGACTTGCTTGTGTTTGGACGAAATTTACTTGTGACTTGACCTGTGATCAAATCACTTGTGACTGGACTTGCCAAAATTGACTTGTGACTTGACTTAGACTTGCCAAAATTGACTTGCTACCACCTCTGTCTTTTATTTTTAGGTTCGCTACTTATGCTGCACTTAATATGGAAAGTCTGTAGCTTTTCCTATGGCAGAGTGTCACCCTTTGCATTGATTTCACTTGAATAATGTCCCATGACTTTGCAATAGTCTGCCTGTTGTTTTTTTTTTGACTGCATGATTGGTCACTCTGATGTGATCATTGCTCTTCAGATCCTGGCCTGGCTGAGGTAACCCCAGAGGATGCAGCCGAGCAGCCAGTAACGGTCCGGAGGGTTGGTGAGGTGGTACAATCCACGTTCAGTGTGCTGGGGAATGCCATGCAGTACCCGCTCGGTAAGGGTACCAAGGGTACTCATCAACTTCATGAGTAAATGGGAAACACCCATCTTTCTGAAAAGTAAACCTGATAAAACACCTGTATAGCCTGATTGTACTAATTGGAAGTCCTAAATGCAGTGTTATGACTGGCCTACTGCATGCACACATCCAATTTAACCGTGCACGTATGACTGTGACCACCATTCGTCTCTTCAGTTTGGGTGTCGTGCACCAATTTGTAAAAAAAAAACTTAAAATAGATCCCCCCCAGTTGTTTGTTCCCCTTTGGAAGAATCCTGGTGACACCCATGTTCTTCCGATTAGACTCTACGAATCTGAACCCAAGATTACTGTCTATCAGGGAGCCTCATGTAATGATTGAAACATCGTATGCCAGTTGATATACCTAATAACTGGCCCTTGACAGTATGTCTAAATTATTGCTGACACCGTGGCTCAAAAAATTGACAGTATCTGCTCTCTTAGTTTTCTCATGCCTCCTCCCTACTGCCCGCAGGTTTCATGGTAGATGCAGCACGCCCTGCCTACTGGGTACCAGATAGTGAGATCATTGTGTGCTCCTGCTGCCAGCTGGAGTTTACAAGCAAGATGCGCAAGCACCACTGCCGTGCCTGTGGGAAGGGGGTCTGCGGAGATTGCTCGGAGAAACGTCGCCCGGTGCCCTCACGGGGTTGGGACGAGGCCGTTAGGGTGTGCAACAAGTGTGACAAGAAACAAGGTCCGCTGTAACCACAACAGGTTTGTGGAACACGAGAATACAATCACAAATGTAGTTCCAACTCATCAATTTGTGTCCATCTGTCAAGGGCAGGTACAAGGGTAGATCCAGAACTTCTATTTTTGGAGGGGGTGCCAAACTTTTTTTGGGGGGGGATTTTATTTAGCTTTTTATGGTTTTGCTATTGGGTGAGGCCCCATTTTGGGGCTTCTTTACTCACTTCAGAAGGAAGAGCAATGAAGTCAACAGAAAGGCCTTTCATCGTTCAAAACAAAAATTGTTGTTTTTGCTCTTTTTTTTACAATGGCAAATAGGAAGTAACACTATAGACTAACCAGAAAATATAAAACTGCATGAGCTTTCGTAGCAACAACTGCTCCATCAGATGCAATGAGTAGAAAGCCACTGTCTCTATCCAGTCAGCTTCTAGATAATCTTTTGTTCAGCAGCTTCCCTTTTTTTTGGGGGGGGGGGAGGTATGGTCCTGTCGGCTGTCATCCACATATCTCATCTCGTCACATTGCTGTCTCAACTTTTGGAAAACACCATTGAAGTCTTTGTCAGCCAGGGGATTCCTTCAATTTTTATAATTCCTCAGGAGCTTGTTGAATCCTGCACCCTCCTTTTCTTTCCTGAGTAGGGAATCCCTCACTCGTATGAGCTGAAAGTTCCTCTCTGTATCTAAATCACTAATTTACATTTTCACCCTCAGAAAGACTCGGTGCAGTTAGTTTGCTTAGTTTAGAATGCCACTGCTTTTATTCTGTGATGCCACTTGTCTCACAATTTTAAAGCTGAAGGGTGTTTATGTAAATTAACTTCATAATATAATTTGATGAATTTGAATAACAGTTTGAAGCTATGCATGCATGTTGCTGTAGTTTAATTTTCGTCATCTTGATAAGTGACAGTCCAAATTTGCTAGCCTTCTGTAAGATGATTGCTTTGTTTGCTTTGACGTAAAATGGTTATTTAACAGGGAATTGGTCATTGCAACCCATATTATGACTAACAGAGCAGTTTCTCTTCACATTTATAAAAAAATCATCATTTTGGGTGTTCAGTTCCACCGCTAGAATGCTCAGAGTAATAAAAATAATACGTTGATGAGGACAGCAATCAAATCTAGCGATTTGATGATGTCATAATATGGCTCTCATCCCCTAGAGTTTCTTGACTTTGGGGCCATTATAGGGGGCTTCATAGCACAAGAACAGAGAAAAAACAGGTAGTAAGTTAGATGTTATTCATGGCAAATGACCACGGCAGTCTGCTTAAAATTCATAAGGACCTTGCTCTGGTTCAAATTGGGACGGTTCAACTTTATCATAAGTCGCAGTGTTG